CTTGAGTGTTGACCTGAATGTCTCCAAATTCATCGGAGGTGTAAACGAAAGACATCAACGACATCTTTCTTGTCATCAAAGGACACTGCTCCGGGTGATGGAGCTATTTCCATTGCACGGAAGCCAAAAGGGGTGAGGTTTGAACTGGAAGGAGAGAGAGAGGAGAGGAAAGAGCAGTGAATAGGCAGTGAATAGGCCAGAATTGAAAAATGACACAGACAACTTGCAGGCGGTTACTTTGCAACATAACTTAACAGTGTGGCCTCCTTTTAAAACCTGGGGTTCTTGCAGGGTTTCTTGACAGAGGTGTGCATGTGACATGTTGTACATGTATGTGCAATGGATTCACAGAATCTAGTGGAAACATGGGGTTAGCGACAGCGAGGGGACCCTTCTTTAAACCCCCTGACTACAATGACCATTTTTACACGGCGGAAGGAAGACCATTAAATAGTATTAGCATGATGGTTTCTCTAGAAATCAATTAAAGTACAATGATAGGGGACAGTCGAATGGATTGAATTTGATGGGTATAGTACAACAGAAATTAGTAACTAATAGTTAGAACACAAGAAAAGTCCTTCAATTTCCAAACAATCCTCTGCAAGATAAAGGGGAAGGACCTAGGGTGTAGCTGGTTCTCTCCCAAAAGTACAAACTAGACACACACGCCACACACACCACGACAAAAACACACGCCCCACGAACCTCTTCATTAACAAACAATAGTTACTTTTTAACCACAAACCATATACACAGAATTTATTAGGCATCTGGGGGTGGTTAGTGGGGGGGGGAGTGGGTTTCCGGTGAGCGCGGTTCGAAATGGGGGGCGTGTCGGGAGGATCGAGAGGGCGGGGGAGGGCGGAGAGTCTGGGTTGGGCGGTGGTAGCTAAAAAAGGGGCGTGGTAAGATGGGGTTGGGGTTTTAGTACATAATATCTGCTGTTGTGTTCATATTTCTTTGCATTATTGTATTGAGGACAAATGATGTTGACAACCATCGTTGTTTCTAGTACCCGACGAATTGTGCCGTACTCAAACACACACACATGGGGGAGAAACAAGCATCCCAACTCTCTTGATCCGGTAGCTGAAGGGGAAATGGAGTGGAGTTTGGTGAGGACCAAACGGACCAACGCAGCAAAAACCAGATCGCCGAAAACTAAGCGGTTCCTCGTCACACAATGTGGATATTGTGATACAGGCCTCAGATTGACCATATGTTGTCATCTTCTGATACCCACAAGGGCTCTTTTCCGTGTCAAAACACCCATATAAGAGGAAAAAAAGAAAACGGTTTAGCTAATTTTGTAGTTTTAGTACAAACTTGCCCTATGTTTTGGGATCAATATTTACTAGTGCCCTAGGTAAGGATGAAAGCATGCACACCACACATAACTGAAATTGATACTAAGTGTTTCCTTGTCCCAAGTGATAGGGTAGGAGGAGATTAGGACTCAGATTTGCCCTAATGTTGTCAAAATACAAAATAATACCTAATTCTCCTATGTGTATAATACCCCCCACAACGGGGCCCTTCCGTTTCTCGCTCATAAAGGAAGGATACACCAGATAGTCAACTCACTCCACACTGCCCATTTTGTACTAGTAACAAATGAGTGAACCTTATAGCAGAAAGGAAATAAGTGTGTCCTGTTAGCATAATGCACAGATAGGTATGGAAGCCAAGAAGGCAATTCGATAATTTCCGTTTTTTTTTTCTACACCGAACTTCCATTCTTCCAGCTTGAAGCTCTGCGCACCCAGGGATGGAAGGTTGAGGGAATGGAAATAGTGTTCTTGTTTGTGGAATGGGCCCTTATTGGAGTAAGTTTGTAGATAGGGAGTAAGTAAAGGCGTATAATTATTATATTATAAATCAATACTAGGTGCTGCCAAAGTTTGCATTTTTGACTGGATGATTGATTGCTTGTATTCTCTTGTTGTCCTCCCTAAAACTTTTGAATGCTAATCACTGCCAATTATTGTTTTAGAGTTGTCAGTTTATGGTGGGGTATTGTGGGGTATTTGTAAGAAAGAGTATAGTGGCCCGTTGTCAAATAATTAGACATTCGACACAAGTAATATAGGTTGATAATTGTGATGAAACGGATTTGATGAAACGTAAATATTACACCAACACACATCTGCGGTTCGGTGAAAGCTCCATAGCTACATTAGCCTTACACACTGGAACATTCATCAATATAGCAATGGTTAACAGTCTTTTTATGTCGGAAAAAAGTTAAAACGAGTATAGATATTAAAGGAAAGGAACAAGCTAGAGAAATGATTATCAATTAGCTATAGTCCGTTAGGTAGGAAAGAAACAGAGGGAAGAAAAAAGTAAAAAAAGAGGAAAAAGGTTGTGGGGGGAAAAGGGCAACGAAGGAGATGGGTGGGGGACGTTGTGGGTCGAGTTATTGTTGGAGTAGTGGGGGGAGGGTATTTCCCAAAATAATTTAAGCTAGGCTCAGGATTATGAAGTGTACAAGGTTAATAAACCACTGTATATACCCAGTGGGCTGTTCTGACTATGTTCAATAGAGAGCGTGCATCCTATCACTGAGCGGGGCCTATCAGTAGGACTGTGTTACGACCCATTGACGCATATTGGCTGGCAGGCGCGGAGCAAACTATGCGCGTGCGCATTCCAAGTAAGGACTTATTGGTGCAGCCCTCAGCCACAGCTCGGAATTCAGCTATATCTACAGCACCGGGTTGTTTGAATTACAAAGCTCACAAGGCAAATGAAGGACACCTCACCATTATAATAAAAAATAGGACAGGTGATTCACCTTTCGTCAGGAGGGTCATTGGCGAGGAGGGTTGTGGACTGGGGTTGTAGAGCTGTTCATCATCACTAAGTAAAACTCTTCCTCAGCAGCCACACTGGGGCCCTGCTGGCCACAACCACAAGAAGAGGAAAGGGCTGCAGCAAGCGGCATCAAATATCCCACATTGGATCACCGAAAAGGAAGCGTTTCTTGACCGCATCATGGCTGATACGGGGTGGGCACGCGCATCTCGTAGTTTGCGGAGGGTTTGCACTCGGGTTTGCACTTTCATACTGCACGATAATAGCTACTTGTCTTCTCTTGCCTCTCCTAGCCTTTTGCCTTCCACTAATGTAGAACTAACTAATTGCCTGCAAAAATCGCCGAGTTGCTCACCTACTGATACTGCTCCTTATTTGTATCGCAGGAGCTGCCCAAGGTACATCATACAGGGTTATCCTATACTATAATATTATGTATTAGTTAACATAGGCGGCGAGGCGGTACAGGAGATACTCCGAGGCTGTTGACTATACCAGAGCTGCCAACCTGTACAGGCAACCGTCAGTAAAAACCTCAAGAAATATCCGTAAATTATCTTCCGTATAAACTTAGTGCGCATGCGCGCATCGATGAGGACCTCGGTCCGGTATATCCGAGCCACGAGCAAAGATTTATGTCTCTAGGTATGAGGTAGAGCTATCTCTCCGTGGTTTCACGCCATCGTGGTGCTATTTTCAGTGTGAAATATCCGTATAAAGCTGCAAAGAAGTGATGATTCACGCAACTCGCGGTTCTCCGTAAAAATTGGTTCCGTTCCGTACTATATACAATAGCGAATCCTTAAAAATACGGAAGAATACGCGTGGTTGGCAGCGCTGCTATACCGACGAGGGCGTAGCCCGAGGCGGGTATAGTTAACAGCCGAGGAGGATTTCCTGTACGCGCCAAGGCTCCTGATGTTAACTGATTTGTAGCCAATCACAATGCTGAACTTCTGCTGTGTCATCCTGCACTAATGTACTAATGACTGTTGTGTAAAAACATTGGAAGTCAGACAATTTGGACTAGATGTTGTGATTGCCGAGCGCATGAGCGCGAGGCAACTACTCCGGGTTGTATTCTCGCATATACGTCCGTACGTGTCGGTCAATGTCAATTAGTCACGCTTATGGAATGGCAATTAGTCACGCTTAGGAATGGCAATTTCCGCCGTGCGCGCAGATTCGTAGGAAGTTTGGCTTCGCGCGCATTCAGTAGAGCGCGCGCACGAGCGGCCTCAGTCGGACTGTTTACGCATTGCATTGGCTGGCAGCCGCGAGGGAAAATATGCGCGTGCGCATTCCAAGTAAGGACTTATTGGTGCAGCCCTCAGCCCACCATCAACAACACCTGTATAGACCCTGCCCAGTGTAATTGTTCTCTCTGACACTGTGGTACTGACTCATTCCCTGATACATCACTAATCTGTGAACTGTGAATTGACTATATAGCCCTGCTTTTCTACCTCGTTACCAAGTTGTTGAGACATGCATATAGCTACTTGGTTTGGAGTCGGGCATCATTGGTGATTTAATTACCCCTGTCTGCTCAGAGTTTACTGTGCCATAGCACAGTGGTTTGAGGTTTGCCTTGTGTTGTAGATTTGAACCCCTACCATGAGTTGCGCTGGTAGCTCATTTGGTAGAGCGCTCTCCTAGACTGCTGAGTGTCATGGGTTCGAATCCCACCCGGCAGATCTTCTTTTTTCTTTTCTTTGAAAAAAATACAGCTGTCCTGGGCTTAGTTGACTTGTTTGCCTTGCCTTGCACTTCTACCTCGTTACCAAGTTGTTGAGACATGCATCGTAGCTGCCCTCAACACGCATGCGCAGCGAGAGATATGTTATTTTGTTTGGTCAGCACGTATAAGCTGGGGAGCAATTTTCACTATATATCAAACGGTGGAGGAAAAGAGGGAAAGAGAATAAGGAATTTGCCAAAGTTCAACTCCAGGATGGCAATTATAAAGTCGGCATCGCCCAGATATCATGCTACAGTTACAAATTCATATCAGTCGTTCATGAAAACCTAGTACATAGAAAAAAAAAATTTTTGAAGGCAATCCAGGTCGTTATTCTTTTTGACAATGTTCGATATTCCAGTTATTATTTTCCTGCAACGTTGCCTTAAGCTCGAACACTTTGTGTGGAAATTTCAATTCCCCACTTTGAGTGATGGCTTTAATCATGAACATACATACCCTCAGTCACTTCATTCCTATCGCTGATCCAGTAATTTGGTTTGGGGATAATCACGTGCTTCATCTTCGACTTCGCATTCGCCACATAGATGGTTTTGCCCGACATGCTGACCCCTACAGCAAACTTATTTGGTGGGATATTATCACCGTCAATGATTGTTAGGGTATCTTTCTCTCCTTCACCAAATGCATCAGATAGGTGAGGGGTGTCGTCGCAAAAGCTGAAATTCACGACGTTTTTATCTTTAGGGTCGCATTCCTTGCGTCCAGTACCATAAAACATCACATCGGGTCTTATTTTCTCCACTTCGGACCACAAGAAGCTGTATTTCGCTTTCCACGAGAAGGTAATTTTTATCGCCTATAGTCTACCGGCATTTCGGGATACAAAAACCAAGCTGGAACTACATCGCTTTCTGTTGGATACCAGTATATAAGAACTTCCACGCTCTGTTTTTCCGCAGTTCATGATCGTGACGCTGAAAGTGTGACTTTCGCCGTTACCATCTTCGCGATGATCATGATGATGACGATGGTCCAGGCTGTGGTGGCTTCTTTCTGAATGCCCTGCCATTCAAGCCTTCTTCTGTCTAAAGGAAATAAGTAGCTACGTCCTGAGTTCAGACTCTTCATTCAGCGAAAGCCCTGCGGCGTGCGCGAGCCGCAGACTTCCGTCGCTGAACGACGCGATGCGATCGCAAACAGGATGCCGATCGCGCGAGTGAGTTCGCGCAACACCGGGCCTTGCGTATAAAAGGTGCACTAAAGCTTACAGTTTGCGAGAGGCAAAAGAAGAAAAATCTTCAGAACAAACCTCGGAACAAGCGCGTTTGGAAATGACTTCGACCGTAAAAGGTGCACAAAAGCTTGCAGGGCAAAAGAAGACAGAACAACCCTTGAAACAATCACATTTGGAAATGACTTCGACCAACTACTCCGTCAAAGTCGTCAATAACGGTGCTGCTGCGTGGCAATTTTACGTTTACCAGAAGCCACCCGCCGTCGCAAACAACCTCAGTTTGGCCTGGTTTGCTTCTCCCTACCATATCGGTGTAGGGGACAGCATTACCTTTTCCTGGAATATTCAGTACTCGTTTGTATGGTCCGCTACCGGAATTGTAAAGCCAGGAATACAATTTACGGCATCAGGGTCGAAAGAATGTGACCCCGAAGGTGAAAACGTCACCAGCTTCACTTTCAAAAATAGCACCCCGGACCTCTCTAATCCTACAACGGGGGGGACTGACGGCAGCCTGACCATCAAAGATGGCGATAGCGTTCCATCGAATACATTTGCAGTTGGCGTCGGCATGTCGGGCAAAGGTACCTACGTTGTAAACGCAGGGCCCAACCTGACACACGAATTTACTCCTGAACCGAAGTACTACATTGTTGCCGCTGACGAAGTGGTAGAAGGTCAAGTTATGGATATAACAACCGTCACTAAATCCGGTTCTTTGGCTTTTCCCCCCAATGTGTACAATCTGACCGCGATACTGAAAGCAGACAATAAGTGGGACATTAAACCCGCCAATTGAAGCCGAGAACAAGCTTTGACTTTTGACTATGATTTAGCAGTAGATATAGACAATGATTTAGCACTAGATAATAGTTCGCTACTGTTGTATACTGCGTTTAAAAATAAAAAAGGGGATTCAGTTGAGTCTCAACAAAATCACTGTGCGACTTTTGCGCCCGCGCGCGGAAATGCACGCTCGTACGGCGGAGGCTGCAGCCTCTGGCCGTTGCGCAAAGGCCAACACAACTTGGTTGCGTTAATCATGCAACTACTATTACATGAAAATCGGAGTGTCGTCGCGTGGATCATAACTACACTGAAGTTGCTTGAGCGTCTCGACAAAAGTGTAGAGCGTCGGTAGACGTGATGGCACTGGTCAAATCTCACGTGATCCGCGTAAAAACGCATCATAACTCCACGAGAATGACTCGCTAGGCTTCAGAAATCACTAGCAATAGTCTACGGACAAATATCTAGCTACACATAAATACTTTATACTGCCATCAGTTCTCCACCCGAGGATTCGCTCATACGCGTGTCGGCATTCATCTTCAGACAGAACAAGTTCCAGCGGTGATTTTTTCACTGAACGTCTCCAGGTTCTACGGAGGCACGACCATCAAGTGATTTTAATTTTTAAAATTTCATAATGATTCGGCACTAAGACTAAGGATACACCGACAGCAGCATACTGCTAATAATAAAGTGCACCTAATGATTTACATAAACAAGGGAAGTGTGTAGCTAATACGAGAAAATGAAGTGGCTGTCACAGATTCTGCAGGTAAACAGTTCCATTACGAAATAGATTGGTGAAGGAAAGAATGTTGTTTAGAATTTGTGCGCGTGCATAAGGTACATTAAGCAATACAGAATGATTAGTGCGAGATGTATATACAAGAGTGAGGCAGAAAATGTGAAGGGAAGTATATTAGCCCATTGATGATGCAGTATAATCTACAAAGTGACAAGTAGTGTCTGTGGTTCTCTGATGACGGTATATTACAAATGTCGAGGAGCTCCTCGTATCTCAGATTATAGTTCCGTGTTGACATTCGCAAAGCAAATTTCTGAACGCTCTCAAGATACTTCTTATCCTTGGCTGCGTGTGGTGACCACACCTCGGCAGCGTATTCCAAGTGAGGACGAACAAAGGTTTTGTATAGCATCAGCATGGTATTACTTGTCACATACTTTGCAAAATTTCTGTAGAGCATGCCAATAACTTTTCTTTCCCTCACACTAGCCTGTTGGATATGAAGATCATTTCTTCATTGTCTCAAATCCCTGTGGTTTATCATTTAGCTTCACCTGGTAGACACTGAACGACGTCATTTCCTGATAACTCAGCAGTAAACGCGTCAGGGGCATTACGCGCACACCTTCGACACAGTTGTGCATGAGTAGATAGGGATTCACAGTAGAATCTAGTGGAACCTGGGTTCCGCTGACAGAGGTGACCCTTGCAATGACAATATTTTTACAAGGCTTGAAGGAGACCATAATTGTGTAACACAATGTACAATGCATGACCTTCGAATTGATTGATGGGTGCACAGTAGTTATGAACTATTAGTAGCACACAGTCCTTTAAAATTTTCACAATCCTCTGCAAGATACCTAGTGTGTCTGCTGGTCTCTCAAAATTACAACTATAAACACACACACACACGAACCCTTCATTGCAAAACTATAGTGCTTTTAAACCAAACTTAAACACAGTAGCTACCAAAGTTTAAGTACAGCATTTTTTTAGGGAGTGGAGTAGCTACATATTCTTATGCTGTTGTGTGTCATATTATTATCACTTGCAGAATTCAGACAACTGATGTTGCACCTTCGTTGCTTTGCACTGCAGTAGTAACCACAGGGGCCACCATACACAAACACAGGAGAAATACCAGCATCTCACTCCACTGATGCAGTAGCTTGTAATGTGGAAAGAGAGTTAGCTAAGCTTGAGTGAGGATCAAAGCATGCAAACCACAATGCCAAAAATTAACCCTTTCCCTGTCATATAATGTGGATACACCTTCGTAGGCTGTGATAAGGCAGAGATGGCCCTATGTTGTCATATAATACCCACAAGGGCTCTTTCCTTGTCGATCACCATAAAGGAAAAAGAAACGGCATACTAAACAGTAGCTGTCCTGCATGTAATGCGGAAAAGGAGTAAGCATGGGTTAAGGATGAAAGCATGAAATTATAGTTCATAGCATACCAACACACCACACAAAACCGAATTGATACCAAGTGTTTCCTTGTCACACAGTGTGGATAGGCTGCGATAGGACTCAGATGGCCCTATGTTGTCAATCCCCTATAATACCCACAAGGGCTCTTTTCTCTCTCATAAAGGAAACCAGATAGTCGCTCACTCCCTATTGTACTAGTAACAAAAGAGTGATACCCTATAGCAGAAAAGGAAGGGTTTCTTTGTAACATAATGCGGAAATGTACGGAAGCCGAGAAGGGCCATTCGATATTTCCGTTCAACATGAAATTCCATTCTTCCAACCTGCTATTATTCCATTCTGCTATCCTTCCATCCTTCCATACTGTTCAGAGATTGAATGCCCATGGGCAGACGCAACAATTGCGCATGCGCTCACCTGGCAATTGCAACTTTCGTGTCGGGACCCCTCTCCCGTGAAAATCCTTTTAACACAAGAATCCAGGAGTTTCAAAGTCGAACAAGTATTGACACACCTGAATTTCTTGCAAAAGCCTTTCAAGAGGTGTTAAAAAACTGGACAGGGTTCAAAAGTAAAATACAAGCAAAGAAACGGGATAAACAACTACATAGAGGGAACACCTTGGTTTCACAAGGAGTGTAAAATAGAAAAGAAAACCAGGGAAAAGGAATAATAGGAATATTAAGACAGGCCCAATCCGAGCTACACAACAACAAACTGCTCTTGGCCAACACAACAGTCCTAATAGGGAATTCTGGAAAAACATTTGTGAAACAAGAAAGGAGTAAACGAGACTCAATTTGGATACCGATGAATTGCATCACCATTTCAAATCTTTACATGAGAACAGACACTTGCCATCTGTTTCAAATTCTCTATTGTGACCTTTACCCCTGAACTGGATGAGGTAATTACACATGCAGAAGTGGTGCTGGCAGTAAAGAAGCTAAAAAAAATTGGCAAATCATCCGAATTCCAGCGGAAGTGTTTAAATCACTTCCGGATAAAGTACTGCACCTGCTAATTGGTATTTTCAATATAAATATTAATGTCAGGAAATCATCATGAGAGTTGTTCATGAACAGAGATAACAGAGCATTGTTGGTTTATTATAAACATCTTGTAGAAATATCCGGATAAAGTACTGCACCTGCTAATTGGTATTTTTTCAATATATATTAATGTCAGGAAATCATCATGAGAGTTGTTCATGAACAGAGATAGCAGAGCATTTTTTATCATTAAATGGCAGACTCCAGGTAGAGCTCCACTGCACTAGTCTCTTTAGATCACCTTGCAGACACATACAGTAAATGGATTTGAAACATTTTGCATCATCGGCAAACAACAGGACCTTAGAAGACAATACAACTTCAGGGAGGTCATTAATGTAGATAAGAAACAGTAGAGGGCCAAGGATGCTGCCTTGAGGAACACCAGAGATCACAGGGAGAGCGGTTGATGTTTTTGAGTTGATAGAGACACACTGACTTCGGTTAGTTAAATATGCAAGCAGCCACTTCCAAGCATTACCAGTTATACCAATGTGCCATAGCTTGAATAGGAGCT